AAATAAGCACGTCTGTAATGGTGTCATAATAAGAGGGTTTATCTTATCATTTCTAATAATTATGGGTTCAATGCCATTTTCAGTTACATTTTCATGGCTTTATTGCAAGGGGCAATATACAGCTTTGTAATATGAATATGTAATCAGACTTTTGAATATAGAATTGAACCATTTCAAAGGAGTTTAATCTCTCTTTGTGTTAAGTGCCTTTCTCTCTTGAGAGATTGTTGCTTTTGTTCCTAGTTCTCTTATTTTCAGGGTAGTACTAGAAACATAGCAATCTAGGGTTTTCATGTCTCTCCTTGCACTTGGAGATAGTGGACCCTAATTTACATGTGTTTTGCTTGGCCCTGCATTAATACATTTAGGGTTCACAAAGGGCTCAAGATAGACAACGACAGTTTTTAATAAACCGTCGACTTTTATCTATAAACAACGACGGTTTTTAACAAAAAAACTGTCGTCTTTACCTCAAAACGACGACAGTTTAACTAAAAACTGTCGTATTTACGGATAAACAACGATGGTGAAAAGCCGTCATAGTTTAATACTCCAAAAGATGGCGGTCGATTTAACGATGGTTTTCAAAGCATCACAACGACGGTGAATCACCGTCGTCTATTTCATTTTTTGTAGTAGTGCGTGTTGTGTATATGTACTACACCCTTAACAATTGAACTTTTTTCTTTTGTATTTCATATATATACCTAATTTATAAATAGATAATGATTGATGATCATCAAGATTCGGCTTCGAGAGTAACCAAAAAACATTTCATGTGTTAGAATTAGAAGGGAAAAAGAGAGAAGAAAGAAGAAAACATTAGGTGGGATACCTTACCTAATCATAAGGAAGGACCGGACGCTAATATTCTTATGAACAAAGAAACCATATAAATCTATTAGTTGTTTAGGGAACAATGAAGTTAGCTCTTCTTCTTCTTCATATTTTTTCTTAAAAAACAAATATGTTAAATATACTTTCTATCTAAGATATTTGTATTAAGAAATTTACAAAGTAATTAGTGTGATGTGCATACCAAAGGATTTTGATTGTTCTTGGTCAAGGTTGTAAAGATACGATGTACAATGTTTTCTGAGTAAGTAAGCACTCCCACGACAAGATTTTGATAACCATCTTCATGCATACTATTTGTTTGGTCACAAACGGACTCAAAAGCTATGATATACTTGGATTTTTAAATGGTTGTTTTGATGAAGGCATGAATGGAGAAATAATATCTCCAATCATACCTTAGTTGATGTGTTAAAGAGTACTCATGTGACTTCTCGATGGAAGGTGTGTATTAGGCCCGACTATAACACAAAATAAAAAAAAAAGTATGATAGGCCCGACCATAACCCAAAATTTCGGGCCTAGAACACTAATCCCAACTGGTTTAAAAAAAATACTCAGCATAATTCCACTCATGAAAGATAATTTGTTCTTACGTATGTGTATACATAAAAGAATTGGACCTTAGTTGTATTTTGTTTGTATATAGAATATACATGTATTAGCGATGTGATAGAAGTGTGCCAACTCCCCTCTTGTATCATTATCGCTACCAAGGATATTTGCAACTGTAAATATGAATTGGCTCTTACAGATCGAATATCAACAATAATTATGTGATAAAGATCCAAATGATACTTGTCATAATACATCTCAAATTCGGTAAACTTAATAATATCCCTAATAAAAACAATACATGTTAATGATATTTGTGCTTATATATCTATATTTGAACTATATAGAAAAAGAAAAACAGAAGGTAAAATTGTTAAGATACTAACTGATTGATTATGCAGTACTCATCCACAACACAATTGCCCTTCTACACAACATTATCACTATTGAACTAGTCATTTAATGGTGGCATGCCTTCAATAGTTCTTTATTTCTTTCTACATGCTCTTCGTTTTCACTCTTAGGGTTTTGTTTCATACCTTCAAAGTTTTCACTCTTAGGGTTTTGTTTCACACCCTCAAAGTACTATTTATATAGATGCATGACCTTCCCAAGAAGAATATGAAAAGAAATCCTATTTACCAAAGGAAACAAAATCCTATTTGCCCCACAAGAATGACCCATAAAATTAAGTTTGAAAAAGTTAACAAGAAAGTACACGTAAAGTTTAGGTCATTAAATGTATGAGTTGTTTAGGGAACAATGAAGTAAGCTCTTCTTGTATATCATAATTTCTCTAAAAAAACAAGGATGTTAAATATATTTTCTATCTAATATATTTATATTAAGAAATTTACAAAATAATTACTGCGATGTGGATGTCAAAGGATTTTGATTGTTCTTGATTAAGGTTTTACGAATACGATGTACACTGTTTTCTGAGTAAGTAACCACTCCCACGACATCATTTTGATAACCATCTTCGTGCTTAGTATTTGGTTGGTCATAAACGGATTCAAAAGCTGTGACATACTTAGATTTTTTAATGGTTGTTTTGATGTTAGTATTCCTTCTCGCTTAAGATCTATAGTCGTCATCCCAGTTTTGCAAACCTTGAAGTCTCATGAAGGCATGAATGAGGAAATAGATCTCCCATTATACCTTAGTTGATGTGTTAAAGAGTACTCATATGACTTCTCGATGGAAGGTGTGTATTAGGCCCGTCCCTATCGAAAATTAAAAAAAAAAACATATGATAGGCCTGATCCTAACCCAAAATTTTGGGCCGAGAACACTAATCCATGGTTTGGAAAAACACCTAGCATAATTCCATACATAAAAGATAATTTATTCTTACGTATGTGTATACATAAAAGAATTGGACCTTAGTTGTATTTTGTTTGTATATAGAATATACATATATTAGTAATGTCATAAAAGTGTGCCAACTCCCCTTTTGTACCATTATCGTTACCAAGGATATTTACACCCATAAATATCCTTCTTTCCACGTCAATCCCCTCTTGTACCATTATCGTTACCGAGGATATTTGCAACCATAAATATCTTTCTTTCTGCGTCAACTTCCCTCTTGTACCATTATTGTTACCATTATCATTACCTAACCCAAAATTGGCTCTTATAGATTCTTTCTGCGTCAACTCCACCAAAAACATAATTTAGAAGACTATCCTTCTTCACTCGATTATCATCAATAATTATGTGTTGAAGAACCAAATGGCAATTGTCATAGTGCATCTCAAATGATAGTTTACTAGTTGTTAATAAATTGATCTTTTAAAGGATGAACAAAGAATGATTGGTTTTTCCCCTTCAACATGGACACACAACAAGAAAAATAGTGGTAGATTACTTGTTTCTGTTATGCAACAACATATTAATTTAACCCAAGTAAATCAACATATAATTAAAGGTGCTAAGTATAATTATATTATTTTAATCAGCCACCTAATGACAGTAGTTTCAAATGTCATCCGAAAGTGATGATATGTTGGACATTCATGATTATCTAATTTGTATATCTTGCAAGTTTAATTTTCCTTAGTGACATGACAGTCACATCAGTTAAGTTTTACATGAAACACAATCAAATTAATGAAGGATCCAATTAATCAAATGCAAGAGGGTGCAAGTAGTTCACATATTCTTGCATGATTTAGTAGTTCCTACATGTCCTTTATATATAATTTGTCAAACAACTTGCACACAAGTTTCAGCAAGAAGAATAGAACTTTGGGGGGCCAACTTGGTCTTCTAGCATATGAAACATCTAGTGGGATCTTAGAGCCAAAAGTCTTTAAATAGGTCTTTTATCATTGTTATTTTTGTGTCTGCTGAATTATAATGAAGAGCCTATTCTTCTAAGAAATTAGTGTCCATTTGTTTTATTTTATTTCTCCTACACTACTTACAGAGGTTCCTATCTTCTCTTTGAAAACAAGGCCATCATCCATTGTTTTCTGTTAGCTCTAACGTCTTCATTGTTTTCTATACAGCCACTTGAATTTACAAAAATCAATTGAAACTAATAGACCTTAGTTCTTGTTCCCAAATTTCCATTCTCTCTCTTATCTTTGCATATTAATTTATAAGAGTGATTTGATGCACGTATTTTCATCAAATTGCAACACAAAATCCAGTAGCTCCAGAGTTCTTCAAGTACGAAGAATAGAGAAAAATGCTTGGAATTTTTTTATAAAAAAAAGCTAATCATATAGTAACAAACAAGAGGGAAAAAAAACAGAACTAAGAACCATGGCAACAACAATAAACGAAAATTAAAAGACTTTCAACATTTTGTTTCATTTATATGTAGGCAATGTCAAAACATCAATTAAATCAAATACCAGTAGTGCCACCACCACCACTGTGAAACTCCAAACAAAAAAAATGAGCTAGCTACTTGGATTGATAAATCTGGTCCAAGCTTATATATATACATGTATTTTACCAAGCTTTTATAGTTTGACAATGTTTGAGAAAACAATAATAATGATATACTTGTTGTTGCGAGAAAATAAGAAGCAGATGGTAATACAAGGAATTGGAAGCATTGTATAAATTTTCATAGTTGGGTACATATACCCTAAACTTAAAGATGATCACCATGTTCTACATCTCGACCACCAGTTCTGCTACCTGATGTAGATATGCAGGCTTTGGCATTCATGGATCAATGGGATAAACATAAGTAAATAAGCACGTCTGTAATGGTGTCATAATAAGAGGGTTTATCTTATCATTTCTAATAATTGTGGGTTCAATGCCATTTTCAGCTACATTTTCGTGGCTTTATTGCTGGGGGCAATATACAGGTTTGTAATCTGAATATGTAATCAGACTTTTGAATATAGAATTGAACCATTTCAAAGGAGTTTCATCTCTCTTTGTGTTAAGTGCCTTTCTCTCGAGAGATTGTTGGTTTTGTTCCTAGTTCACTGATTTTCAGGGTAGTGCACTTGGAGATAGTGGACCCTAATTTACCTGTCTTTTGCTTGGCCCTGCATCAGTACCTTTAGGGTTCACAAAGGGCTCAAGATAGAGTAGCAGTATTTTTCAGATGTAAGGGACTACTCGCTAAGTTGTTGATCAACTAATTCATCCACTAAAGCACCACCTTGATGCACTATGAGAATCGACGCCCTGGCCACAATGTTGGATGATGCCAATGTATCTCCCAAGGGTCCGAGCTCCGGGCAGTCACCCCACTCCGATAACCCAAACGTGAGTGGTGAAGAAACTGTTCCCACGATATAAAGATCATAGTCATTTCCCATGGCGCTTATCAATTTGAGAGTTTCCTCCACATTGTTCACCACCTCGTTAATTAATCTTATGGAGGGTTGGTTCCTAGTATTGAACACGAAGCTCTCTATATATTGGTCGTCTAGCTGTTTCTCCTTTTCGTTTTCCTCTGTCACCTCTAAAATATTCTTGTCTTCGTCCTCATGATGATCATGATCATTATTAGGATTGTCGGGACGGAGATCTGAATCAACTGACGCATCTTTGCCGATGATGAAACGAACCACAGTTAAGCTGATATTAGGATTAGGGCTAGGATTGCTAGCCATCCTCCATGCATATGCCAATGCCTCACGGTCGTCTGGCCCACCAATGAAGAGCATGGCGCAGCGGCAGCAGCCATGGCCATCGTCATTTTTAATGTTAGATGGATCAGTGAGCCCACGATCCACGAAGATGGCCACCGAACAAGAAGCGTTCTCTAGAAGGTTCTTGTTAACGCCTCTAAAAGAGGAGTTTCCGTTGTCCATTCCCCCATCAATGGTGGATTGCTTGTGGAAAGGAATGATTATAAGGTCTGCACTCTTGTCGTCAGCAAGGTTGCAAATGTCCTCGTGCATGGAGGTGTAAGAGGACACAACAGTTAGTGCCTCCACTGACAAGCTGCCTTCTTCGCTTTCGGTCTCAAGTTTTTCAAAGGCAGCAACAATTTGGTTAGAAGGCGAAGAGTGCTTTTGATTTTTGGCTGTAATTTCAGTTGTGTTACGAATATTGCTGCATGTGTCGTGGACTATGAGCATGGCCGAAGCATGGCCACCGAGCTCCACCAGATGGACCGCAAAGACGAACATCGGGGATTGTTTGGTGGGATTGGAAGTCTCCAACAGATTGATGATGCTTGAAACATTGCTTGTTGAATGGATGCAAATAAGGATTCGAAACTCTGAGTTGGGTTGTATGCTTCTTATGCTTCTGTGTGTGTGCTGCTTAGATGGCCCATTCGACTTGTAAATCAAAGCCAAAATGGGTCCAACCGCTGCCGTCATTATCACAATTGCAAGAATCATTACTGAAAAAGTATTGTGGTCCAAAACCTGCATTTATATATATTTGCCAATTAAAACGATATAAAATCAAGAATTTAACACATAGTTTTAGGATATATATTTCTTAGATGTAATTTATTTGTACTTTGTTTAGGGGGACGCTTGGTAATACCATTGTACCACATTCACTGACCAGTTACTATGATCATTGTACTACGTACATTCACTGACCATATTACTGAACACCTCTCTAATACATATAGGTTCCACATATTGAGGTGGTCAGCAAAATGGCCAATAAATATAGTACAAATAGCATTAAACATAACCTTAATAAACAAAGAGACCTATTACCATAAGGAAAATTAAAAAAATATTGGAAACAAAATTTCTAAAAGGGAAAATGACTAGTGCCATTAATTACTACCAGTAAATTAAACTAATAACTTAACCTTTAATTTTGATTTTCCTAAATACAGTAGTAAACTTACATAACTTGAATATAGTATTACTTAAACCCAATACTAAGCCTAGAAGGCATGCATTTGGCCATATGTTATATACTAATTAATTATTAAGGACTTGATTAATGAATCATGGAATTTTGTGTGTGTGTGTGTGTGGATTACATACATACATGTAAGTCCCTCCCAGAATTGAGGATTATTGTAGCCAACAGGCCTTTGGCGTTCATGACTAGTCCGAAAGCCAAACTGTCCCTCACCGGCATTTTGTTGATGATGGCAGCGACGGAAGTCACAATAAATTTAGCAAGGAAAGCCAGGGCAACAATTGACATGACAATTAGAAGGCTTGCACTGCGAAAGACAACATCGACATGCGTTCTCATCCCAAGAATCAAAAAGAAGAGGGGCAGCAAGACTTTTGACACAAAGTCCTCAACCTTTTCGGTGATTACAGTTTTGAGCTCTCCCTTGGGCAAAATGGCTCCCAACATGAAGGCCCCAAGAATGGAATGTGACCCGAACGCATCACTAATGAACCCAAACAGCAGAACCCCGGCCATGATGAAGCATATTTGGTTGTCCATGTCGTACTTTTCGTTGAAAAAGCTCGTGTTGCAAACCATCCATGACAGCACCGGACGAAGCCCGTATACACAGAATATGATCAATGTGAAGGTGGACAACACTGTGTAAAGTTTGCCATCGCTGACTATGGCCACTGTGATGACAAGAAGAACCCAAGAGACAAGGTCGTTGATGACGCTTACGGAGAGGGCGGTCCTGCCAACGTCGCTGTGGAGGAGCTTGGCATCGGCAAGTACTTGGGCAAGTTCGGAGAAGTTGGTGGTGGCAAGGGTGGTGCCCCAGAAGAAAGGACCATAAGTAGTAGCCTTTAGTGGGTGGGAGTTGGGTGTTAGGGTTTTGTGGAGGAGATAGCCAAGAGGGAAGGGAACTAGAATTCCAGCAGTGGCAATGCTCCAAACTTTTTTTCTGGCCTGCAAAATTGGCTTGAAATCGACCTCTAAGCCCTGGAGGAACATGTAGTAAATCAACCCCAAGTTGGCGATTGTCTCTATGGTCAACATGCTATTGACTGGAAATAGGTATTTGCGAGAGAACTGGGTTTTCAGGATAAAAGATGGACCCAAAATTATGCCACCCTGCAATGTGCATGCATGCATATGCCAATGTATTACTATTTGTCCTTGTCATAAAAATATCAATATTATGCATATAGATGTGATATTTACGTGACGTTGGTTGGACTGTATAGTTGGATTATTGATTAAATTGATTCTCAATTATCGTTCCATCACAATAGAATTTTGATAATAAAGCATAGAGCATAGAGATACAGAATAGAATTACAGATTACTTACAATAGTGTAAGCAACGATGCGAGGTTGGTGCAAAGGTGCAAGGAGAAGCTTGAGAAAGTGGCATATAAACATAATGAGACCCAGTTGGGTGAAGAAGAGAGGAAGATTTGAAAGCAAGGCATTCTCAGCCTTCCACATCCCAGTCACGTGTGTTATCGTTTTATTATAACATACCCTCGTAACGTCTGCTTTTACTACCCCGTCATTGTCCCATAGTGCATCATCCATTACGTACGATACTTGTATTTACAATTCCTTTTTATAAAAGTGATATTAAAGAATTGAGGGATTCGAACAAAAGACCTCAAGTGCAAAAGTAACTGCTCTTACCTGCTTGAGCTACAAACTCTACTTACAAATAAGATAATAGGAATTCTGGGTTTTTGTCAGCCCTCCCTAGCTACCTCAGGACGTCTTTCCTTTGCCTTGGATGACGTCCAAATCGCTAGAAACACCACTCTCATCAAAGACAAAGACAAAGACTATGACAATGAAACTAGAACAGAAAAGTGATTGTTATCACACAACACAAATTAAAGAGGAATGAATAGAAATCAAAGTTTCGATACTGAGGGATTAATTAGTTAATTAGTTGCGCCTAAACTAGCTGTAACCTCTTCTTAATTTGTTGGTGGTTCGTTCTGTTTGGTTGGCATCCACGCATTATTAGACTTTTTTATATAAATTTTTTGGTGGCATCCATATATGCATGCATTAGACTCTTCTTAATTAAGCTGTAATTTGGTCCACTTTCACGGCTTCCATGCAGCTGTCGATAACTAATCTTTTGTCCCAACAGAGTGCCCTGAACCAAGATTTGATGATCTGTCTTATAACTAATCTTTGATGTGAAACTTACCAAATTAGATGTTGAGTAAAAACTGAAATATGGAAAAACTTTGAGGTACAATTTGAATTGTTTTCTTAAAGTGTTATTTGTCCCCCTCTCAATTGAGTTTGCTAATGAGTTCTTGGCAAACCACTTCCAAGATACAACAAAGTCTGAAATCTGCAAATAGCAAAAGCTCGAAGAATTCCCTTAGAAATTACTACAAGGAAATTATATGATTGTAGAAGTGAAGAGAGAATACGAAACTATTTTGGATTGGTTTATGATATCTTTCTCTGTTAACAATAGGAAGTATATATAGAGTATAGAAGGAATCCATCCAATTAATCTGAAAGTGTGCAACGCCACTTTCTCAAAGGACACTACCTTTACCATAAGCTCTAGACAAAGTAGCCTCGCTATCACAGTATAAAGAAATGGATCACATCAGTTGTGGCCACAACTTTATTTCTAATAACATATTTCTAAGCCATCCGCTTCTTTACCTGCTGCTGCCAATGCTATAAATTCAGATTCCACCCTAATGTTGAATGTGCTATACATGTTTGTTTCTTTGAAGCCCAAGAAATTGCTCCTCATACAATGATTTGATCAATTTACAAACTTTCTTTTCATTTATAAGGAGAACAAACCCTTCTGGTTGTTCCCAAGGGCGGAACTAAGTGTAGGCTCAACTAGCTCCAGTTCAGTGCTGTTTTTCCGCATATAGGCTTAGCTTTACAAGCCAAACTAGGGTAAATCAAATACTAGCCCACCACTTTAGGTAGAAATAAGCCCATCAATGCAACCAATCTCTACACCACATACACACCTCTGCAAACGAACTCTACACGTGTTGGTTCATGATTTAATGAAAAAGAATTTTGTGATTTACGCCAACGTTTACAGCACAAAAGAAACCAAATTATAATTAAAAAAAACTCTAACATCTATAAAGCTTATATATAAAATATAAAATATAAAATAAAAAAAATTCTTAACACCATCCTCTTTTCTTTCAGCTTTTTTTTTTAATGTGTTTCTCCTTTTCTTTCAGCTGAGAAGGTCTTTGGCCATGGATAGCCATTATATAATGTAATTTACAACATAGGTTTGATTATCTATCTATTCAGATAAACTCTGTTGGAAAACCATCAGTACTCGAGTTTTTGAACTCTCAGGAATTCGCATGTGTTGACAAAAAAGTAATGGGAAATACCTTCTTTTGGGGTCTATTTCATATTGGTCGGGATTGTGGGTATTGAGGTTTTACAATCAAGCCAAGATGGGTGGCAGATCTGCCATGATAAGAAATTAAAAAAAAGGCCATCTTCACATGTACATACAAATGATATCTTCCAGGGCAAACAATATACTTTAATGGATGTGAGCTATTGGTGCATAATAAGTATCCAAGTAATCTATTCCCTTTTTCTGTTTAAAACCTTTAGCAAACAACCTGGCTTTAAAGGTTTGAATTGACCATCTTTGTTGTATTTCCTTCCAAATACCCACTTACAACCAATTGCTTTAGACCCTTGTGGCAAGTCCACTAAAACCCATATGTATGGTTTGACATTAATGAATCTATCTCATCATCTGTTGCCTCTTTCCGAAAGGCAGCATCTCTTGAAGCCATTGCTTCGCTTAGACTTTTAGGATCATCTTCTATATTCAATATAATGGGTATCTTATTTAGAACTTGATTTATGTCTCCTACTAAAAATACAATAGATTAAGATGAAATAAAATCTGGACCTGGAGTCTTTTCTTTTCTTATTCTTTGAATTTTTCTAGGTTCAGTAACAGTTTGAGGCTGTTTTCTTTTCTCTCTTTGAGAAGAACTAGTATCCATAGAAGACAAAGGTGCTTGATCATTTCCTTGTACAAACCTTGAATCATTATAGAATTTATTTTCTATAAATTCAACATCTCTAGGTGTCTTATTTAAGACTGCATGCATTTACTTTCTTTTTCTTCACATATCAATATTTGGCTATTTTATTTCAAAAAAATATAGAAGAATAAAACGAGAATGCAACATTTGTTGATAAATACTCTATTAAGAATTATGCTCTTGTCAAAGCACTTGGCCGAGAGCGTCAAGTAAGAGGAATTGGGTTTGGCCTGAGATATATGGGCATGTCTGCCACTAATGTTGCTTCTAAATAATCGCTCTTGATTTGGGTTTCTTTGGGATGTGAAATTGGATGAGTTGGTGCTGAAGTGAAATGGGTTCTGATCACTTGTTCTTGTCTTTAAGTTACTAAAGCAAGCTGCAAGCAGAAGCACTGAGATTGAGAGAGAATATCGAGAGTTTCGGAAATATCGATGGTCCAAAAACATGGAAATATCGATGAAAATATCGAGGAAATATCGATATCGATAAAAATTGAATAAAAATCACGGAAATTGTTATAAAAACTTGGAAATTTTTATTGTAACTTTAGAGGATGTTTATTGTAACAACCCAAACCTAAAATTAATATTTAATTATTAATTTATTGGAGGAAAAGACTAAAATGCCCTTAGAATTTTTATTAGGTCAAAGGTTGACTTTTTGATCACGAAGGAATTTGAGAATTTCAGTTATACCGTTGCGTAGAGCGCAGCGGGATGAATTCGTAGACACGTAGTGGGCCCAAATCCGAGTTGTATTGAAGGAGATACAGTCAAAATAAGTTGGAGGGCAAAATAGTAAATTTGGAAGGTCAGTTTTTTTTAAAAAACCTTCATCTTCTCTCTCTCCTGTCGCACCCGAGCACCCCCCCCCCCCCCCCCCCCCCCCCCCCCTCCCCCCTCCCCGGGGCCTCGTTCTTATTGAGCGTACCACCGCTAAAAAAGACTACAACCCAAAAAGAAATCTCGAGAGAGACGTTTTCAAGTTTCATAAAAAAACTCGATGAGGAACCGCTGGAATTAGCCCAGGAAAAGCCGATTTTTAGCAGAATTTTCGAGCTTCCGTTCTCCCTCCTCCGGCCACCAAATCAGTCGAGTAAGGTATGAATTTCTAGCTATTTTTCATGATCTAGCTGATGGTTGAGTAGGATTTGAGGAATTTATAGCGTGAGAGGGTTAATTTCGAACCTAGGGTTCGGCCGGTTTTGAGATCACGGTTTCAGCCACTTCCGGCCACTTTTTGGGGTAGGTCCAAGAATAAAAGTGGTTCCAAATAGAGTGTTTTACCTAGGGTAGGAGTCTTGAGCCAAGATGTTGAGTTTTTCCGGCGAGGCGTTATCGCTTTAGGCACCACGCGCTGCCACCACGCGCTGCCAGGGCGTGTGGCGGCGCGTGGGCAACAAGGTGAGGACCATAGTCAGTCCTAGAATGATCTCCTAGTCCTCACGAGCACGTAGGATTTCGCGGAACTTATTTCGGATATCGTTTGAACCCCGAACGGATCTCGCCTAGTATGCGATTTCCGGGTTCAACCCGTTTGAACCATTGGATCATAGTTAATTCCAAGTATGTTAATCTAGGTATTTCCAGGATCGTGTAGTATTTGACGGATCGTAAAATGGAGTCCCGGATACTCCAGAAATGTCAGCCCTAGAGTATGTTCCACGGATAAGTAAACCAGTTACAAAATAAACAAACCAGTTACAGGTCAGGAACAGAGGAGAGAACTACGTGTGGCTTGATCCCTCAGTAAGGGTACGTAGGCAGCCTACAGTTACCAGGCGCAGCCACGAGTTAGGGCCCCAGAGTTTGTGTTAGCGTTTTAAGGTCATTTTGGTCATTTTTGACCCATAGTCACCAGGTGTCAGTTTTAAACAGGTTTCGACCCGGATTCCAAAGTGGGAATTGGATCAGGTCGTTTCATTTATTTAGTCAATTGTCTATTATTTTGTGACAAAAAATTGGAATAAAATGCATGGCATGGTGTGTTTGAGTGATTTAAGTTGATTATGTAGCGACCTGACAAACACTGTGTTAATGTATGCATTTTGAGTTTTTCTTTTGGCTTCCCTTGACAACTTTGTAATAAGATTTGTATTGTTATTTATCAAACTCAAGTTTAGATTAAGAAAAGCTTCGCTTGGTGTTCTTATCTAACTTATGTCCTATGGAGGTTCAAGCAATTTGACAAAGGTAAGTTGTGAATTGCATATTATTGCATTAAACTGTTTTTATAAAATGATGACTAGTCATCTGTTTCTCGTATGACTAGTCATTCTTGCTCTGATTGGATTTCCAGCTGGATAACCAACTTCTTTGTCCTATTGCCCTTTCTCTCTCTGCTGCCAGGTGTGATTCTGACCTAAGGGAATTTCTGTCTGTAAAGGCTACGAAATTCCTCTTTGGGAAGTCGTCTCTTTTGGGTGGAAGTTTTGGAAAGATTGGTTTTGCTATCTTTCTCTTCTTCTTCCTCAAGAGAGAATCAAATATTTCATCTATG